CAGGAACCTGGTTGTGTGCTCGAGCAAAGACAGGAACAGATTTGTCCTTTCCTCAGTTGGGCATCGGCCCAGATGCTCATCCGGATACATCTCCCGTAACTCGTCACATATGGCGATTGATCTCTTGGCGTCACAAGGTAAATGGACTGTATTAATATAACTTTCATCCAGACTTTCCCCCATTAGAGTGCTTTTACATATTCAAGTCAGCTGAGGCATATGCTGCCATACAAGGTGCCACCTATTCAAGGAGACTTACATCCACACACTCATACAAGCTATCGGAAGCAAATGTGAGATATTGTGTATCTTGCCCAAGTACACATCAACTTGTTCACTGCAGGGGCCCGAGAACTAATCCTTGACCTTCCGATAGGAGGAAATCATCTAACCCCTGAAGAAGAAGAAGCCGAATCTAACCCACAATAAGTTGGTTTCACTCCCAAGAGCGCCTCCTGGAAGAATGTCCTGTAACAAACAAACAAACGTTTGTCTACTAAAGTCAGTGCCGGTCTTCTGCCACAAGCTAAATACATACCTATTACGTGTTTGACAGTGGTTAAAAAATGAAGTTTTAAATGTTGTACTTTTTTGACTTGGCAACTCCCTTCCCATGCCCCACCTAATTCAACAATGTAAACTGCTGTTGTAGCTAAAAGGTTAAGCTAATTGTAATTAAATAGAAAACCACTATATTAGGAACCACTTTTAATATTTTCTCCTTTTTATTGAAATAATGGATAAAGGCCACCAACAGTTTTTCAAATGAAACCACCTAAGATATAAGAGGGGATGTGTCTTTGATGAAACTGAACAATTAACAATTGCAAAGGGCTTCGAAAAGACATGTTGTTTTTACAAGGGGTCACAAGCCAAATGGTTAGGGACTAGGGTTTAATCTTAGCAATGAGTTGACAATATCTTATCTAGAATCCTAATCCGAAAAGTAACTTCTGGACATGATGATCCGTCCAATAAATGTGGTGGAATAGAGGATTTGCAACATCACATTCCTCAAGTAAAGTAAAAGTACCAGAAATTGCTACTTAAATTCAGTATCTGACTGAATCTGCAGTTACCGACCACCATTTGCCATTCTATACTTTCTTTTTGGTAGGAGAGAATATGAAAATCAGTATCACAGCTGTGCTGCCGCCTCCTCTTCAAAATAAGGGCTATTCACCATGACAACACTGATAATGTGTCATAGCATGAAAACCAAAGAGCAGGACACAATCTTGTGTGTGGGAGAGATATGACTAACACAGTACATGACTGTTAAAAAGATATAAATGTAAAAAATAACTGGGAGAAATTTGGGCTCATCATATCACAAACTGACAGTGTTGTTGGGATGAAAGGTGAAAAATCAGATTTAATAATGATGATGTTTCTATATCCTAGGACACATGCCGTTCAAATCTGACTTTTTAGCCCACACATTGCACTAGTTACAAACAAAAAGTGTGGCAAGAACATTCACCCAAGAAACAGAGAGGGGTACACTGCTACACACTTCTGAAACACAACCGCCTCTACATTTCAACATATTTGTCATAAAATAGATCAAGAGGAGAGTGGTGTCGGGGGTGTGATAATGCATGCAGGTCACTGCTCAGGATACCTCCTTCACGCCTACAGGGTGTCTGACCTTTCTCCTCACTGTTGAGTTCATCATCTGAGATATATACCTGGCCTCCTATTCACTGAGCATCTGAGAGTAGATAAAATGTTCAAACTGGCCTGAGTGATGTACGTTTGGCCTTCTGTTAGGCCCGGAGGTAGAGGCGTTTTATTAACTTTTCTAACTATGAAATGACTGCCATCGGACATTTCCGAGCTCTCCACAGGTGTTCTAACCCGTTATGAGTCACCGGGAGTTGGAATTCTGGCAAACAGTCCGTTTCAGTCAGGGGTGTCCAAACCTTTTCACTGAGGGCCACATACAGAAAGATATACGAAGGGCTGGGCCACTCACTAGAGGTGAGGTACATTGCCTCATAAGTTAAGTCACAAGTTCAATCAAATGTATGTCAATTAGGATTGATATTTGAATATGCTGAATATATGAATAAGAAAAAAAACATCCTACATCAGAGCTTTTAATTCATTGTTTGTTGGCTGCTCATACCTTCAAACAGAAGCATCACATTGCTTATAATAAGGGGAAATATGAAGGGTATATTTCAAGCTTGTTATGCAATTACATTATTTTCATTGTCTATAACTATTTATTAGAAAAAGTTTTCAACTTTAATTGACTGAATTTATTTGAAACGTGGGCTTATTAACACATGAATACTACTGTGTCATATATGTTTAAATATATATTTAAGAAGTACAATATAAGAAAAGTAGAGTTTCAGGTGTGGGCCATATTCCATTAAACTTTTTGAATTTGCTGAGGGAAAATTCAAAATGGACAATGGGCCGTCATTTGGACACCTATGGTTTTAGTAGACATTTATTGATAGTATAGCATATGTTGTGCCCATTTGTATGTTTTGTTGTTTGTTTTGAGCACTAGATGGCTCAATGGAGCACAGGGTATTTAGGTGACCTCCCCGGCACAGGTGTGGGTGATTGAGGCTGTGTGAGCAAACCGTTTTTGACCGTGTTGCAAACACACACAGTTTTTGGATATAATAAATGATATTTATTGCAAGAATGTCGTGGTCATAATTGGAGAGTGCACGCATCTAACTAAAAGTCACAGTTTCAATCCATAGTGAGAGGACTGCATAAGCTGTCCTCTCAGTGGACTTCCCGTCCGCATGTACACCATTTGTATTTTGAAACCACTTCCATTTCCAAAAACTGCAAGAACAGGATGAAACTAAATCATGATGACCCAGCTGCATGGAGCAGAATAGCATGATTATATAACCTAGATAAATAAATCCAAAGAACAGAACAGAAAGCAGAGTCGATAAGGGAATGATTGAATGACTATAGAGATTGCATTGGGTAACTTTGCTTTTTCTTGCAATGAAACACTCAAAACGTAAGCTCCTCTCCAGTCTTTTCCTTGAGATATCCCAAAAAATATGCAATTATAAGCTTTAGGGGGACTAAACAGCAAATGTAAGCTTTTCTTGTTTTTCTTTGACGGATTGCATGCTTTAGAGGTGGAACAACTTACTGTACCAGCGGCATTGTTGAGACTATAAGTCTCTTCTATCAGTTAATCAAAAAGTACTTTCCTTGGGTGGGACAAATGGAGACTGTGCAAATGTCGAGGGTGATGTGTCCCCTCTGTTTTGTACCGAGTCCCTAATTAATAAAGTCAATAAAACAAAAAACAAAAACCAAGCCCAGAATATTGCATAATACTTCATACAAGCATCCTTTCATTAGCTAGGCATTTACTACTCTCTTTTTGAAGGCATGCATTGCCCGGGAAATGTGTTACCTCTATTCTCGCTCTGCTTTTCCATAGTCTCAGTAGAGAAATTAAATAATACAGGAAATGGGATTGCCCATTGATCTTTAACACTACAGTTCAGTATGAATGCTAATAAGCTTATGCTAATGTCTGCATACTGGACTTCCCCCAAACAGAGCCAAGCCTATTTATACATCTGACTGTTTTCCATTAAACCAGGGTTTCCCTTTTTTTATTCTGAAGCCTGCAGATTTCACCCTCCAATACCTATTATTTTCAGGTTGTGAGGATGCCTCGGGGGCGGATAAACATCATGAAGAACTTTCGCACTAATTAGGCTCAAAGTTGCCATCCTAGCCAGAAGTTCTGAATTTGAGTGGGCCGACTTAGCTTGGGCTAAATCTTTGTGTTTCCACCCCAAGGCGGTACAACAAACACCAATACTGCATTTTTAGCAGAGGTAAATGGGGCATGAATAGTTGGTCAGCTCTGTGATGTGCATGTGTTAAGTTTATAGAGAAATAATCCATATTGCTGTGTATCAAGTCTGCAAATGGTCTTGACACATCTAAATAATAGTATTAGTCTTATAGGCAGCAGATGCTTATTATCACATCCACTCCCCAATGTGTGAGAACTGGACAAATTGCTGCGGTGACAAGTGTAGGTGTACTTACCGATGACACTTTCCTTCAGCTTTTTATACACACGGACTACTGACAGGTGCGTGCATCTTCCCAGGAAAGACTTGACTTCAAATTAAGAGCTAAAGATAAACAAGTTGTGGCCCATGGCTAACAGCAGTTCCAAATAAATCCGTTCACAGCTGGGAAACACGGTGTGACTGTGTCTTGCATGAATTAGAGTAGATTCCCTGCACTGCAGTGATCAAACTATTAGCATAACTCAAGTAATGAAGCTCAGTCATTATTTGTATGTCATGAAATCCTAAACAATCCTGGTTAATGTTGAGATGTCTGGCAATGTTATTTCACAAATAAAAACCACAACCGGCTTTTAAGATGCCATTCCTTTTTTTAACTGATTTGAACTTGTTTATTGAATATATTCTTAACATAGTAAACCACTAGTTTGAGATAGATATCTTTCCAACTTCCTAAAAAACTGCTTAAGTCCCATTCTGAAGCAAAACAATTAAGATGCTTCAAATTTTAACAACTACCGACTAGTTTCCGATGTGCCATTAAGTGAGGTTTTAGAGAATCAGTTATAGATCAGATCAACTCCCACAAGTTTTTTCAAGTAAACCATATGGATTCCATGCTAATCATAGCACCCAATAAAGCATAAGTAAAGATTGTAAATGATCTCAGATTCAATGCAGAAAATAGCAAGCTCTTAGTTTAAGTACTAGCTGACTTAAGCACTGCTTTTGATACTGTAGTGTAGACCATACAAGTCGTTTCAGTAGACTCCACAGTCTTGTTGGCATTCCTTGTACTGTTTCTAATTGGCTTAAATCTTACCTTACTGAACATACCCATTAGAATAACACTCAAGTGATGCAATGAGAGGGTTTGTCTAAAAGGCCATCGGTTTGCAAACTTAGAGCATTGGAAGTGAAGGGAAAAAAGTGGTTTGTTGGCATGAGTACCTCTTCTGCTTTGGTCTGCTCGAAGGCGAACTCCACGGTGGGCACCGCCAGTTGGTTGGCGAAGAAATTCACATCTCCAGGCAACTGCAGCGAGCTGACGTTGGGTCCAGGGCAGTTCCCCCCACGAATGCAACTCAGCAGCTGTCTCTAACAGAGAGGACAAACAAAAAAGAGAAAGAAAAGCAGTAAGATGAGAGATGTTTACTTGTGGAAAGAGGGCAGATATGCTTATAAGGGTTTAGTAGAATTATAAGCCACAGATTTGCCAATAGTTGCCAACCCCAACCCTAGCCCAATTTAAAATAAATAACTGAGTTCTAGATAAAACTCTTGGACTCTTTAGTTAATGCTTCCTTAGTAACAACATGAACCCTGAATTGACATTTAAGGCAGTGGGAACAAATGCCCACAGTGTTTTAGATTTATAATAGCAAAGGATTGTTAATGAGGCGTATAGAGTTTAGGTTTATCAGCATCTAAGAGTGTTTCAGAATTCACTCCTATAGTATGGACATGTTTTTCGGAATATTATTGGTGATAAGGATGTTCTGCATAATTCCCACTGGAGAGTGGGAAAGTGAGGACTGTGGCAAGTTTCCCCCGCAATGTCTTTTGAAGGAAGCAGTGGATGCTTCAGCCGCAGCTGGTTTCATGATGTGGTGAAGAGCGGCCAAACAAAAATTGGGATTTTTTAAATTTGAAGTGGGGGTGAAAGAGTCAACCGTTCACGGAGTCCTCTGACTTCTTTGACATTATGACCCATGTTACAGAGAATATATTTTTTATATCTTGTGTAGGTCGAAGTTAATTTTATTTTTTGCACTGATCTACACTTTACCATTGTGAATTTGGCGTTTTGGACAAGGGTGAGGATTTTGGCTGACTGTGGTATTCAGATGGATTTATTTGAGCCAAATGATTTGACCATGTGAAGGACATAAACTGTCCAGAACCTGAGCTGTTGAGAGCTAACATCGCTCAGTTGTTATGTGTGCTCACTGGAAACTTCATCCAGATCCCTAATACAGTATATTTCAGATGCCCTCAACTGCTGTTTACCCAAAATGTACCTACAGTATAAGCGCCTTGAAATAATGAACCATGAGTTGTATACGTTTTTGCATCTCTCAAATGACAAAAAAAAATCACATTTGTGTGACATGGTTTGTGTTGTGCCATTCAGAGAGAAAGGGCTGACTAATTTCAGCCATTACAAATGTTTTCAAGTAGTTTGAATGTTCACTCAGGAACAGTCAAGGACAAGCATAAATTGCACTAAAAACAGTAGAGTGCTTATCGGGGAGGGGGAGGCTGTGATTAACATTTGGCTGGCGGCTAATTGCACGATTCAAGCTTTTGTCACAGTTCCCCACAGCTTACATGTAGTTTGTCACCTGGGTTCAACCCTTCTCCGCTGCTATTCCTAATTGAAAGAATAACAAGGCTGCTGTATAAAAAAAATGTGGTTCGTGGAAGGAAACAGAATGCAAGCGTCAATCAATTCGAGGCTTATCTCCACTGTCCACATCTGCTGAGCCTGCCTGCAGTCACCATGTTCTTCTGTCACATTGCATTTAATTAGTTTCTTTTTATCAAGGTCTGTCGAGGGGAGAGAGCTCTGGTGTCCAATCTGGTGTCACTGTCACTGACACATTGTTGTCAACTTTTTCTATTTTAGTTTTTCTAAAGGCTGTTTGTTCTCTGAACACTGACCGTCGCTGTTGTCACAAAAACTGAACGAAGGTCAGTCAATGATACCTTTAACCTTGCCTCGACCTGGCAGCATGTACCTCGGTGGCACAATATTTCTATTTGTAATCCTTTCCATTTACTCCAGCAGAAATACAAAAAAGCTGGAAGGACAAAAGATATTTACAAGCATATCAATATTCATGAAAGGCATTTCATTACCCACTTATGGCTAATTGTGGGAGTTAACAGGGTGGGAATAAATGCTTGTTCATGTGTGCAGAATTTTAAAGTTGATTTATATTCATAAGGGAAGCTTGCATCCAGAGGACAAACTTATCACAATATTGTATGGCGTAACAAGCTTTCTCTTTATTCATGAAATTGCTACCGGTAAAGTTATTTAAATCCAAAACACAGAATTACTTTTTCTAATTTAAAAGGAAATAAGAATATACTGGGTAATAAGCCTTGCAGTATCAGTAGCTCAACAAAGTAAGAAAAAACAACTACATTCCAATTATAAATGTCAGAATATATAACAAGCCAAGTAAATGCTCGCTGTTTAATTGACACATTATCTCTGGGTTAAGTGCCAATGCGCACAAGCACTGACTACTTAACAATTAAGATGAAGTCTAGGCAAGCCTATAAAGTCCAGAGCAAGTCAACCAATTTAATCAGTTACCTAACAAAATGATGCTCACTTTAACTCTCTGAATACAGCTTTTTATGCAGAGAGATCTGTTGCATCCCAGGAAGGACTCTCTCTTCAGGGAGAACTAGTGAACATCTGCCTTCAAACTCTGTGGTCATAAAAACTCTCATATATATTTGTTTACGTTTTCGTTCAACTTATTTTCTCATGTTTTATATGTTAGCAACCCCCATACACCAAAGCAAATTCCTTGTATGTGTAAATGTACCTCATTCTGATTCTGATAATACATGTCAGCATGCATTACTTATCTCAGAGAGAGAAAGGTTTTCACTCGGGTGGTTGCAGTTTTAAATGTAATATTGACCATACGTAACAAGTGACCCTCACAGGTTTTCAGTACAATAGTCTATGAGATCATTAATCAATAGATACATTAGTCAAATCTGATCAAGTTGAATTTATATTAACTTCAGTCCAAAGTTGTGTTAAGTGATGACATAGTGCCAGTAAGGCAGCTTGCCAACGCGGAAGCAGGACAAATGAAGGTTCAACGGTTCGTCCTCCAATCAATAACACCGTTGAGTTGCAATGCAAGACTTAACAATCATGACTGCAGCACAGATTATCGAAACATACTTCCTCCTTCACTGAATATGATTGGGGCTATGGAGGAGGCTGGTATACATTGTGATGTTCCGTGCTGCTTTGATGGCTGGCTTCACTGTGCAGAAAGAGTGCTGGTGCCAAGTACTGACTGGATAAAAAAGTAGTCCTCATCCAATGATTCAAAAATTAAATTGGATTTGCATTTCATACTACTTTAAAAAGTATTTTGGATCTAATTTCCAAAAATAAAATGGCATCTACAGTAGGGTCTTATTGCTGCCGATACATTTTAAAATCAATCTGCAAAACAACCCAACAAAAAAACAAAAACAATATCTGATTTGTTTTTTTTGTTGGGTTGTTTTACAGATTGATTTTAAAATCAATCAATTTCTCATATCGGGCTGGAAATCTGAACAAGGCTTAATACAACATGGTGCATTATCCTATATCCTTCACACAAAGGACACAATGAAAGTAAAAACTGCACAATTGAATGCAATCCAATTCTTTAGTCTTGCATTATTAGCCGTCTTTTATCGTTCAATGTTCATTTGAGACTGTGCAAGAGGTGTTGATTTTAGACAGGTTATAGTGATGTTACATTGGATTTCATATGGGATGTATACACTGTATATAATTGGATTACACTGTGCTGCTCTTGCTTTTATTGTGTCCAGCATCCACCCACTTTACAAGCTCAACCTCTGTCTTCGCCAGTTGAGCTTTCTACTGGAACTGCTGCTGCTCAACCAAGATATTGAATGAACTACATCTGAACTTGATTTGCATGAATGCCTGTGATTAGAGCAGCCATACCACCACTGAGCAATCCAATTTGTGAGCAAGTATGCCATATAGCAGGCACTGACTGTCTACCTTGTATCCATGAGTGGGCAAGTTGAAACAATTCATGATGGTTTCTGCCTGGGTCAGTGCTTTAGAAAAACAAGAGTCACAATTAATGAGGCAATATTCAGTAATGCATCTAGTATTGGATTGCTGGTGGGAGGACCTAAAGATTCACATTGTACATACAAGTTGCTGGAATGAGATTGTGACGACACTCTCGGGAAAGAGAAGGACATAAGACATCAAGAAGAACCACTACTTCCTCATGTTGATAGGAGCCAATTGATGGGGCTCGGCCATATAAATATGATTTGTGGAGGTACTGTACTTTCCATTGGTAATTGCAGATATTACAAAATATTATATATTATTTTGACAACCCCTATACCAAAGCGACTTATCTACAGCAATATGGGGTTAATTGTCTTGCCCAAGGACACACCTGGCATGTTGACAGAAGGCTACGGCTACAGTGAAGAGATTGCAAAGACCAAACAAAAATTATATCGTTGGGATATATGCTAATATTAAAGAGGACTTATTATACTCGATTACGGTTCATTTGTGTTTTTTTCTTCTACTGTGACATGTTTCCATGTCTTAATGTTCAAAAAGCTCTTTATTTTTCTCATACTGCCTGTGCTGCAGCACCTCTTTTCACCCTCTGTCTGAAACCAGAGCCCAGTCTGCTCTGATTGGTTAGCTGGCCGGCTCTGTTGTGATTGGTCCATCGCTTAAAGATGAATAGGAAATGTTCCACTCTCATGCCTATCACGTACAATGTGTTGGAGCGCCAGCCAATAGAAGCACAAGTGTTACATAGTGATGTCTTCGTGTTACCGAAGTAAACAAAGGAGTCCAATGGAGACGTTTCAGGGGAAAACAGGGATTTTAGCCTTTGCAGACCATTTACATGCACAACATCCTATAATATAACACACTACAGGAAAGGGAACACCCCCAAAAGCATAATTGGGCCTCTTTAAGGAACACAAAACATGGATCATTTTAACAATCGTCCTCTGAGGATTTGTTGTTTTGGCCTTTGTGCATGCATGATATGATATTTGTATTCTCGAATAAAAACATAAAGTAACTCTGACATAGCCTCCTTCAATTAGTCTTAATTGACTCACAATGGAAGATGATCTTGTCTCAAGCATTTACCTTCAGCTCCTGCAAGCCGCTCTTTGTAGCACATACGATTTTGGAGATTGAGTGGTATCGAGTGGAAAGAAAATATCTCAAATGATTTGGCTCTCTCCTTATCATAGCAGACAAAGAAATTAAATATTGATTCCTGGTGTGGCACCACAGGCTGAAATGATCCATTCTCTCT